ACTTACAAAATAGAGTCAAATTTGTAAACAGTCGGGAAAAACACAATTATCATGTCCTCATTAACTTTAGTCATCTCACTAATGGCTCTTGTTTGGGGATGATTATTGACATCCGATTATATTATCATTACATAGGTGTGTGTTTGTGTGTGTGTGTGTGTGTGTGTGTGTGTGTGTGTGTGTGTGTGTGTGTGTGTGTGTGTGTGTGTGTGTGTGTGTGTGTGTGTGTGTGTGTGTGTGACCTTTCTCACAGTGTGTTGACAAGCAGACCCATGAGCCGTGATGTGGAGTGGTCTCTACCGCAGACTTCACTCACTAAGGAACAAATTAAACGTGACTAATGAGAAGCTTCAAAGCCTCAGGAGACGAATCGCAATCAGTATTTCAAGATTTCAAGCTCTGTTATTGGTCGGATAGTCTCACGGTAAGCCTCCAATCAGAGAAGAGGAAAACAAGCGAGAATGGGATCAGAGAGGGAGTGAGAATCATTAAAGCAGAAGAATCAAGTGACCAGGGAAATAAGATCATGATTCTAAGAGGTTAATAAGTTAATGGTAGTCTCTCATTTAACTGGTGATTAACGGCCCATGTAGTTAAGAGTCGAGTCTCAGTATACTTTTGATGTCATTTTGAGCTGCCCTCTTTGTGCTGTGAGTGAGTCAGTTAGATGCCCCTTTTCCACACACACACACACACACACACACACACACACACACACACACACACACACAAACACACTCCCACCCACACGACTGTAAATTACGTAAAAAAAAATCATCATATTTACAACTCGGAGTAAAAGAACACATTTTTTTTGTTTATTCATTTGTAGTTGTTTACTTTCTATTGACAATTGTATTATACTAACGTGTGATTTATTGGTCTAAGTTAAATTCCCCCAAAGGTTGTAAATTACTGTTATATTGAGATGCAAATTAACTTTTAAATTAATATCCAACGAGAAATTAATTATACTTTGTAACTTAATATATGGGTCTCTCCCTCTTTCCTCCAGTCTTCCACCTCCCCCTCTCCTCCACTTCCCCTTCCTCCTGTCTTCCACCTCCCCTCTCCACTTCCTCCACCTCCACCTCCCCCTCTCCTCCACTTCTCCACCTCCCCTTTCCTCCAGTCTTCCACCTCCTCCACTTCTCCACCTCCTCCTGTCTTCCACCTCCCTCCCACTTCTCCACCCCCCTCCTGTCTTCTCCACTCTCCTCCACTCTCCAAAAACATTAAAATACACTATACTCACCAATCATCAAATCATCTCAACCACGCTATCAATCACCTCACACCCCATCCCCCCAAATAATAATGAACCAACTCGAAAAAAAAGATTGAATTTGATGCGTGATGAAAAAAAAAATCCCCAATTATTCTGGCAAAATAAACCTTGACTGATTAGTTCCAGATCGTGGAATCAATACATGGAGAAATTAATCACTGATGAGCCACATAATTCAAACATTCAACCAAACACGACTACACCACAATTGAGGATTTTTATTTTTTAGTTTTTTTGGGGGGTAAAATTTTAGGCAAAAGTCAATTGAATTTCTGATGATTTCTACCTCTTCCTCCTCACCTCTTGCCTCTCATTCACCTCACTCCTTCTTCACCTCCTTCTCACCCCCTTCCAATCCTCTCCCACCTCCTTCACCTCCTTCTCACCCCCTTCCAATCCTCTCCCACCTCCTTCACCTCCTCTCTCACTCCTTCCCCAAATTCTTGGCTGTAATAAATAAACTATATCATTATTATTATTATTATTAGTAGTATTATTAGTATTATTATTATTATTATTATTATTAGTATTATTATTATTATTATTATTATTATTATTATTATTGTTGTTGTTGTTGTTGTTGTTGTTGTTGTTGTTGTTGTTGTTATTATTAGTAGTAGTAATGCATGTATACAAACAGTCACACACACACACACACACACACACACACACACACATATATACACACATAAACACGTATCTCGGTATGTAAGTATGTTTGTGTCTGTCTGTGAATATCAGGTAAAAACGGCTGACATTGGAAGATATCCTGACTTGCTGACGATTCAATTTCCTGCTATCCTAGACGGCTGACCCACCCTGCTCTGGCGGTCACACCTGACACACACACACAAACACTGTATATGCCCTGATGCTGACAATGTGTATATACCTTCATCTTTACACTGTATATATGCCTTAATGCTGACATTCTGTTCAGTATATACCTTGATGCTGACACACTGTACAGTATACATCCTCGCGAATTCATATCCTCTGGTATAATAATAAATACAACTAAAAACATCGAAAAGAAAGAAAACAAAAAACAGCAAATATTTCAAGTTAAAGAAAACGATACAAAAAAAAAAAAAAAAAAACTTGGCCTATTTTATGGTAAACTTAGAAATTCATTGTAACTTTGGGTTTAAAAGAAAATAAAATCCCCCGTCTCCTTCCTTTTACATTACGAAGTTGGAGAAAGTTACAAACAGTCAAATTATATTATTTCTAGCGATAATTTCCCTTCCTCTCCCGCTGCTGAGAAATGTGTTTGGAGATTTAATGCAAGAGTTTAATTATTTATTCTTAAGTGACGCCGGAAGGGAAATGTCTGTGTTGGGGGATTTTTATGGCTAATTTAATTTATTTCATTTCATTATATTTTTTGTGAATTTTATTTATAAGTTTATTGAATTATTTGTTTATTATTTATTTTGGTCAGAATTTATGAATACTTATTTGAATATTTGTATTTGTGTGTGTGTGTGTGTGTGTGTGTGTGTGTATACTTGCCACAGACGTACACAGAGAGAGTAACTCCACGCTATCCAGGTCCTTTGTATGTCTCTCTCTCACCTGCCGCTACTCTACATGACATAGTAATTACCTGGCTAATACCTTTAAAGATCCAATTAACGACGAAGGAAAAACGCCCAGGTATCAATCGTTTCTGCAGTAATGAACCTAACATACCTTCAACACTTTTACCTGACGCGTCCGTAAAAATGTAACGTTGGGATTTTTGTGTTCTGTTGAGTTCTGTGTGTTCTTTGTGTGTTGGGTGTGTTCTGTGTTCTTTGTGTATTAGGTGTGTTCTGTGTTCTTTGTGTGTTGGGTGTGTTCTGTGTGTTCTTTGTGTGTTGGGTGTGTTCTGTGTTCTTTGTGTGTTGGGTGTGTTCTGTGTTCTTGTGTGTTATGTGTTCTGTGTTCGGTGTGTTAGGTGTGTCTCTTGGTGTTCTTTGTGTGTTGTGTGTTCTGTGTGTTCTTTTGTGTGTTGGGTGTGTTCTGTGTTCTTGTGTTGGTGTCTTGTGTGTTCTTTTGTGTGTTAGGGTGTGTGTGTTCTCTGTGTTCTTCGTGTGTTAGGTGTGTTCTGTGTGTTCTTTGTGTGTTGGGTGTGTTCTGTGTGTTCTTTGTGTGTTAGGTGTGTTCTGTGTGTTCTTTGTGTGTTGGGTGTGTTCTGTGTGTTCTTTGTGTGTTAGGTGTGTTCTGTGTGTTCTTTGTGTGTTGGGTGTGTTCTGTGTGTTCTTTGTGTGTTGGGTGTGTTCTGTGTGTTCCTTGTGTGTTGGGTGTGTTCTGTGTGTTCTTTGTGTGTTGGGTGTGTTCTGTGTTCTTTTGTGTGTTGGGGTAACTTGTGTTCTTGTGTGTTGGTGGCCTGTGTTCTTTGTGTGTTGGGTGTGTTCTGTGTTCTCAAAAGTTGGGTGTGTTCTGTGTTCTTTTGTGTGTTGGGTGTGTTCTGTGTGTTCTTTGTGTGTTACGTGTGTTCTGTGTTCTTTGTGTGTTGGGTGTGTTCTGTGTGTTCTTTGTGTGTTGGGTGTGTTCTGTGTTCTTTGTGTGTTGGGTGTGTTCTGTGTGTTCTTTGTGTGTTGGGTGTGTTCTGTGTTCTTTGTGTGTTGGGTGTGTTCTGTGTGTTCTTTGTGTGTTGGGTGTGTTCTGTGTTCTTTGTGTGTTGGGTGAGTTCTGTGTTCTTTGTGTGTTGGGTGTGTTCTCTGTGTTCTTTGTGTGTTAGGTGTGTTCTGTGTGTTTTTTGTGTGTTAGGTGTGTTCTGTGTTCTGACCCAATTATCTCTGGATATTGCCTATAGTGTTTGAGAAAGATTGACTCATACAGACAGACACACACACACACACACAGAGAAGATAGCACTATATACCACTATTACAATCGTAAGGGGAGGCATAAAACAACTTAGTACCTAACCTAACCAAACCCAACCCAACCTAACCTAATCCGACCCAACCAAACCAAACCAAAACCTAACTAAAACCTAACCAAGCTTTAATCCCAGGACAATAAACCTTCCATTATCATAACTTGAAATAATTCGTAGTAAAAAAATATAAAACACAACAACAACCATCATCTCTTGAGCCACTTGCTACATTAAAATGCCGTAACACAAACAAGTTAAGACTCTCTTACTTCTGGGAGTCGAGAGTTAAGGGAGTAGAGAGTTGCTTAACTTTTACATTAACTCTTTGTCTGCTTTGCCTTGTCACGGGTTAGTGGTTTTAAAAGATATATGAGAGGCTTGGTGTAGGAGTGAGAAGGGGGATGTGTGTAGGGGAGAGGGGATGTGTTTAGGGGTGGGGAAGGATGTGTTTAGGGGTGAGGGAGGGGAGGATGTATGAAGGGGGGGAGGGAGGGATTTGAAGGGAGGAGGGATGTATGAAGGGGAGGGAGGGATGTATAGAAGGGGAGGGATGTATGAAGGGGGGAGGGGGAGGGATGTATGAAGGGGGGAGGGGGATGTGTGTAGGGGTGAGGGGAGGGGGGATATATATGTGTGTATGTCCATAAGAAAGAAGGAGGAGGGGGAGAGATAGAGAGTTAGAGAAGGAAGGTGAGACAGAAAGAGAGAGATAGAGAGAATAAGACAGATATATTGAAAGAGATAGAGAGGAAGATGCAGAGACACAAACTCACACTACAGTAATAAATTAATCAATAAAACAATTAATAAAAGTTCAGGGAGGAATAATTATAAGTTCAGTTGTTTTAATCTATTTTATTTATACAGTTTTGTTTATTAATTACAATGATAAGAAAATAATTAAACTTATATGTGAACATTTACCTGGGAATGATCACCTCGTTAACTCACCTGGGACGAGATAATTACTCATCAGGTGGATAAGTCAAATCCACACGCGGATATCTCAACTAAACCATGCAAACTTACACACACACACACACACACACACACACACACACACACACACACACACACACACACACACAACTTTTATCCCTTCAATAAAACTCTTGAGATTTCTCCTGTCTGGTCAAGATAGGTCACAGGGGTTAAAAAGGTCATCTACCGGCTTGAACTTCTGTCTAATAATTCCTGCACTGTCAAACACTCACTCGTACGGACTCCTACAAGTTTGAGGTTGAGTGCCTCAGCGGATATGTAAGTGTATCTTCAGAACATATACGATTCTTTCCCGAGTACCTGCCAGGTGTGGCGGCTGGTGTGGCGGCTGGTGTGGCGGCTGGTGTGGCGGCTGAGATGTGGAGTTCAGCTCAGCGGTTACCACAAACATAAATAATTTGATGATTAGTAAATAAATAATTGATGCACCGAACTGTCACGACAGATACGTCCGTAATGTGCGGACAGACATACTGACAGAGCTCACCGAACACTCGTGGGGCCTCGACATAGTCGTTTATTGTAACTTGAGGTGACTGAAACAGCTGTGAGGAGCGTCGTGCAGGTGTGTTACGACCCGTCAGTGGCTGTGTGGAAGTACCGCCGGGACGTGAAGATACGAGCCTGTTTTCTCCTGCGGTGCCACAGGTACACCCACACCACACACACCACCACCAACACCACTAGGCTGGTGATAAACCCCCAGAAAAAGAAGTCTTTAAGGTAACAAGGATGTTGGTCAGCGAGCGTCAACACGGCCACCCTCAGCTGGCCAGAGTGGTTCTCTATGGTGAGTGTGGCCGCCTGGCCCACCAACACACTGTCGTGCAACATCGTAGTGGCGGAGGACGACTTAATTTCCGTATTTCCTCCCCGTAAGATCAACCCTCTTGACGCCACGACGTCTATTGTGGTGTGTACCATGGTGAGTGTTGCTCCTGCGGCCACCTCCAGCTTCTGCAGCGTGTCGATGGCGGTGGAAGTGAAGGAGGCGGAGGACCCGGCTGACAGTGGCTGGGAGAGGAGGAGGATCTTGATGACGGAGTTAATGATGGTGAGTCTGGTGATGCTGGAGGTGGTGGTGAAGGAGGTGACGCTGCTGTCTCTCAACTGGACGCTCCTCACCTGGGCAGGTAACCTGTTCAGGGTGGAACTGCTGACTGAGAGCTCAAGTTCAGCAGCCTGACAGTCACTGCTGCCCTCACCCGCTGCCACCACCACCACCTCGGACACATTCTCGAGTAAGAAATTTACACACACAGCGTCACTCAGCCGGAGCTTCCTGGCGTTGAACACTGCCACCTGCTGCACCGCCTGGCCGTCTGTGAGCAGCTCCTCTAACTTCACCTCCTGCTGGGGGGAGTTGGGGGGGATTAGTGTCGGCAACAGGAAGGCGACTCTACTGTACTGTGACCTCACCTTTCAAGACTAACCTAACCTAACCTGGATCCTATGAAGGTCTCAGTAGCAAACACTATAACAAAACAGAGAGAGAAAGAGAGAGAGAGAGAGAGAGATAAAATACCTGTGTTACTTGCTTGTAGTCACAGTGTAGGATGGTCTCCTTTAGTTCACAATGGGAAGAGTCAAGGCCGACCCTCAAGTCATCCTCGATAAGATAGGCGTGTGAGGCTAACCCTACTAGCGCCCATACCACCACCCACGACCACCCACACGCCCACGCCCTCCACTGTCTACCCATCTGTGAAATAGAGGAATCATTAATCAAAGGAAAGAACAGTTATTTGTCTTCTTGTACCAGTATAACTGAATCACCTGAAGATAAAACACCCTAATGCTATCTGGGAGGGTTCGGTTAGGTTAGGTCAAGTTAGGGTTTGGTTAAGTACACATTTGTTAAGTCAGGTTAGGTGAGGTTAGGTTAGGTTAGATTTGACTAACGTATATAGTGAATAAATATTAACTTCCAAACAAAAAAGAAAAGCAAATACATATAAAAATAACAATGACTTACCGAAATATTCCTCCTAGGTATTGTGAAAATATTCCTCCTAGGTATTGTGAAAATATTCCTCCTAGGTATTGTGAAAATATTCCTCCTAGGTATTGTGAAAATATTCCTCCGCTAAACAAAATAAACCAAATAAAACACAAAATATCGAATCTTACTCAATTGATTTTATGTTGAGATGAAAAGTGAAGAAGTCAGCTGCTTGTTCCTTGACGTCACTAGAGAGGATGAGGGATTGTGAGGGTGTGGTGGGTTGTGAGGGTGTGGTGGGTTGTGAGGGTGTGGTGGGTTGTGAGGGTGTGGTGGGTTGTGAGGGTGTGGTGGGTTGTGAGGGTGTGGTGGGTTGTGAGGGTGTGGTGGGTTGTAGGGGGTGTGGCGGGAGTTGTGAGGGTGTGGTGGGTTGTGAGGTGTGGTGGGTTGTGAGGGTGTGGTGGGTTGTGAGGTGTGGTGGGTTGTGAGGGTGTGGTGGGTTGTGAGGGTGTGGTGGTTGTGAGGGTGTGGTGGGTTGTGAGGGTGTGGTGGGTTGTGAGGGTGTGGTGGGTTGTGAGGGTGTGGTGGGTTGTGAGGGTGTGGTGGGTTGTGAGGGTGTGGTGGGTTGTGAGGAGGTTGTGATGGTGCGTTGTGATAGTGATGAGTTGTGAAGGAGTGGTTAGTGATTGTGGTACGTGGTGACGGTTGTGATGATAGTGTTAAGTTATGTGAGAATGGTAGTGGTTGTGGTGGTGAGTTATGACGAAGTGTAAGGTAGTTGTGGTTGTGATGGGTTGTAAAGAAGTACTGGTGGTAATAGTAGGTTATAATATGTCCGGCGGCCTGAAATCTATATTACCAGATAAGATAAAGAACATAAGAAGATAAGCTTATCATATCAAGCTTGACCAATAGATACGTGAGCCAGAAAAGTGGAGAGCGGATGTACCTAACCTAACCCCACACCCCTCACCCCCAACTCCCTACCCTCCTCCAACCCCACACCCTTACCCACAACCCCTCACCCCCCACCAGGTAAAGCATTAGGGTATTTTAATCAACAGGTGAAATAAGCTGTGGGTGGAGAAGCTAAAATTTACCTAATTCGTTTCCAAAAAAAAAATTATTCACGGGAAATCACAAATGTTTATATATGTTTGTATTATAATTTCAATTTATATAAAGATATTTTGATAATAACTGTTAGATAGAGGAATTGTTATAACTAAAAGCCTCGGTAATCTTAAAGAGTTAGTATAGGTGATTAGGCAACCCACTGACGTCACTGTGGGTCGTTATCTGATGAATAGTACTGGAAAAATCTCTCTCTCTCTCTCTCTCTCTCTCTCTCTCTCTCTCTCTCTCTCTCTCTCTCTCTCTCTCTCTCTCTCTCTCTCTCTCTCTCTCTCTCTCTCTCTCTCTCAGACCGACAGTGTTTGCTGGGTAGTGAAGAAAGCATTAGTGTACCCGAGTAAAATAACCGTTTTCTATGATAAAGTTTCATAGAAAACTAGTCTATTGAGGGCCACTTCTTCGGAGTCGATAGATACCCTTGTAGATAGATAAATACATACATACAAACATACATATATACATGGAAATAGATAGATAGATGGATATACATTGGTTCAGCATGTAATTTGTATACATAGACAGTGCTAGTAACAGTAGTAGTAGTAGTAGTTGTTGTTGTTGTTGTAATAGTACTAGACAAGATAGTAGTAGTAGACGTAATAGTAGTAGTTGTTGTTGTTGTTGATGTTGTTGTTATTCTTGTATTAGTAGTAGTAGTAATAGTATTATTTTTAATATTATCCTTGACTATCGTTATTATTATTTAGTTAGGTTAGGTTAGGTCATTCTTCATGAGGTAAATAATCACCTGTAATTAGCCAGTATGATAGAGGTAATAACAGTGATACCTGAGTCATTACCACACTGGTCACGGCAGGTGTGTGGAATCGACCTCTTGCTACACATATATACATACATACATGCATACATACATACATACATACATACATACGTACATACATACACGCCAGTCCACATATAACCACAGCTTAAACCTAATTTGCCTTTATTAGTTAAGTACACGTTCAAGGGTGGACGGGGGAGGTGTACAGGGGAGCAGGGAGGCGTTGGCAGGGGAGGGAAGGGTGGCAGAGAGGGGTTGGCGTAGTAGGGAAGGGGAGGTTGACAGGGAGGGGGAAGGATGGTAGGGAAGAGGAAAGGTGGCAGGGGAAAGAGAGGGTGGTAGGGGAGGGGTTTAATTGCCAGGAAGGGGGTGTGAGGGTAGGTGAGGAAGGGGAGAGGGCAGCAGTGAGGTGGTGTAAGAGGAAGGAGGGTGAGGTAAGGTGAGGGGGAGGGAGGAGGAGGGTGGGGTGGGGAGGGTGAGGGGGAGGAGGGAGGGAGGGTGGGTGAGGTAAGGTGAGGGGAGGGAGGGAGGGAGGGGTTCTCTAATTATTTATCCCGGTGGGTCTTTAAGCAGGTAAGTTGTGTGTACAGGTGTGACGTCAAGAGTCTCGGATCCGCTCAGCCACCTCAGCGAACCCGGACCCGGACCCGGAACTGAACCTAACCTAACCTACATCAAGATAAACCTACATGACCGTAACATTTTAATCACCATTTCATTGACTGACGAAATATGTACTAATCTTCACCAGTTTCTAAGGTCATAAATACTGTCCATAAACCTGTGGTCTCATGTACTTACCTGTGGGAGGAATTTGATCTCTTATTTACCAACGTGATTGTGTGTGTGTGTGTGTGTGTGTGTGTGTGTGTGTGTGTGTGTGTGTGTGTGTGTGTGTGTGTGTGTGTGTGTGTGTGTGTGTGTGTGTGTGTGTGTGTGTGTGTGTATTAGTATTTATTGTGGTGTAACTCTGTACATACATACATAAAGACAAAATAGCTCTAGTGCTCTCGATCAATGCCAGTTGTAAGTAGTCCACCAACACTAAGAGCTAATCCACACTCAATGAACAGAATTAACTCGGCTCTTAGGTGAGTCAACACTTGGAACCCTTGATAATTCACTAAATTACCTTATTAACTGAAATCGTCCATTGACCCGATACAAGGGAAGAGGTACTGGTATAATCTGTTGTTTGTTGTGTTATTGGTATAATTCCTTAAGGGTTGATTAATTATAGGGGTATTTTTTTTTGGGGGGGGGGGGAATTAATTTATAAGATCAATTATCTTCATAGATTTGTCATTGTTCCTGTGTTGATTCTGTCAGATTCAACAATTCAGATTCAGAGATTTAGGGAATCAGATCCAGAAATAGATTCGGAAGATTAAGATTCTGGCCAAATAGTTGAACACCGTCAGGCAGGTGTACAGTGTTGTCAGCGCCGCCTCTCAGCTCATGCAGGTAAACACTACATTCGTGTCACACATTACAGCGTCGTTAATTGACTTGGAGAGCAAGACAATGACGTCACACCTCGAGGATTACTTATTGAGAGACGGGGGCTGGGGAGGGCTGAGGGTGGCTGGGGGTTAGGGGGGCTGTGGGAGCTAGTGGTCCTGGGGGGCTGAATGAGAGTGGATTCGGGGATTTGGGACTGCAGGGGCTAGTGAAGAAGAGAGGGATGGAGGACAAGGGAGCTTGGGATTAGTGGGACTGGGGAACTAGAGGGTTGAGGGCTAGGGATTAGGGACTGGGGGCTGGCGATACAAATTTGTGTTGGTCATAATACAATAATAATATTTACCTGAATCACCACAGGTAATTAATCGCAGCTTAAGGGAGCGAGGTGAGTGGTGGTGTAGCCTGTGTGGTGGTGTAGCCTGTGTGGTGGTGTAGCCTGAGTGGTGGTGTAGCCTGAGTGGTGGTGTAGCCTGAGTGGTGGTGTAGCCCGAGTGTACAGTGTGTAGGCAACATGACGCAGCCTATCACGTGTTCTGAAAGGATTATATCATCGTCCTCAAAGGGTAAAATCATCATCCTCAAAGGGTTAAGTCATAGTCCTCAAAGGGTTAATTTATCGTCCTCAAAGGGTTAACTTATTCTTAAAGGTAGCAATAATTTTTTTCTTCAATTACGTTATCCAATAATGTAACACCGCTTTATTATGTACGAAAACAATCCCTTACACAAACACCTTACTTCCTCATACGCAAATCCTAAAAGGGAGAGTATTGCATCAACCTTAAGGGAACACTATACGCCTTTTACGACACCCCGTACACGCCACTATTGGTTCGTGGGGTTGACCGAGAAAGAATTAATTGGAGGTGATCACGCGTGCCTCTGTAATGACGTGTAATGTTCCTCGTGAGTACCAGCCAAGGCATAATGTTTCACGCTGTTTTCCTTCTTCTAACTTCCTACGTAAAGTAAAGACGATGTTTTAACACAATGATCTACCCTTTAAAGGTTTAATTATATTTGTGATTCGTTTATAAGTAAGAGGAAAGGTTTATGTAGTGTAGGATGGATGTTTATTTACTTGAGAAGATGAGAATACTTGTGTCACCCACTTGATGTCCCGCGTTTTCTAAGAAGGTCCGAAGGGGAGAACTAGGATAAATGGCGCTAACACACGATACTAACCCCCTACCTCTCCCTCCCAACTTACTTCCCTCCCTCCCTTCCTCCCAGACCTCCTCACTCTCTCTCTCCTGGGCATGCGCTCTCCTAACACTGCCAGTTAGCCGCCAGCACTCCCAGTCTCCTACACCTGCACAGTAACTAGGAGACCCTCGCCTTGACACTCCGAGAAGCGACACCTGAACTTGTTGCTTCACCTGTACGTCTACCACCTAATTAACGTGAGTATACAACACCTGGATATTAATTAGTGACCCAAATAAGTATAATATTTCTTCTATAGTGAACTTGAGTGAATATTATAACCTTATAGGGGAAATATTACCCAAACTCAGCGAGTAATATAATACTGGAGTGATATAAGAATTTTGGAGGAATATTTTTTTTAGGATTTTGGAGAGGATTATTTCAGTTTTGGGAAATAGTTATGGAAATCTGGGGAAATATTGGGAAAAATAGATATATTATGGGAATTATTGGGGAGTATTATAAAAAATCTGGGGAAATATTTAGAATTACGTTGAATATTATGAAAAACTATTAATGAATAATAAATAACTCTTGAGGTTTATAACACGTTGGGGAATAATGGTGATAATTTGGTGAAATGTGATGATAATTCCCGGATTATTACGATGATTAAAAAAATAAATTAAATTCTGGGGATATTTAGAAATTTTAGGGGTGTCTAATCTACAGGTGATCAACAATGGTTCAGTCTTATATTGTCTTATTTATTCATAAACAACATCTTAATTATGTCAACCTTCTTTCCCTGTCTTCCGGATGATAATTTAAAGGGAAAACTTAATAGAGGTGTGAATGAAGATGTGCAGAGATGTGTTATTAAAATATTCAGTAAAACCAATTCAGATCAGGTGAAGTATTAGCCACTGTTTATTTCACCTCATTTAGCCTCTATAATTCTACATCCGGGTTAGGTTAGGTTAAGGCTGTCTGTCTGTCTGTCTCTGTCTATCTGTCTGTCTGTCTGTCTGTCTGTCCATATCTATCTATCTCTTTATCCAGCTATCTGTGTGTCTGTCTATCTGTCAATATAATTTACTGCAATTTAATTTAATCTAGTTTAACTCTCTCTCTCTCTCTCTCTCTCTCTCTCTCTCTCTCTCTCTCTCTCTCTCTCTCTCTCTCTCTCTCTCTCTCTCTCTCTCTCTCTCTCTCTCTCTCCTGTTATTAAAATCTTGACCTATTTTACTATGCAGTCAATTCAAACTCCCGAGCCAATATTCCCGAATTCCCAAGACGAAGCTGGTGCGTTCCTGTTCTCATTCCTACTCGCAATTCCTAATATTTTTTTAATCGTAAATTTCAATAAATATTTTGGTTGTAATTTATCTCAAGTGAGTCTTAGAGTTGTGGCTATTAATTATTTTATTGTTGTTGTTTGTGGTTGTTTGTGGTTGTTTGCGGTTGTTTGCGGTTGTTTGTGGTTGTAATTATACTCTAACTGCCAATTATAGGGGATGTGTTTGTTTGTTATTGTTTTTGTTTTGATCATTACACCATAACTCACTTAAAATCGTTTGTTTTTTACTGTAGGAATTTGTTTTATTTACTCTTAAAATAGGGGAATGTTTGTTTGTTTGTTTTGTGTTTGTTATTGTGTTTGTTTTGATAATTACACCGCGCTCCCTAATACAATCATTTGTTTGTTTGTTATTGTAGTCTTATGTCTTTTGTAAATGTGTTTGTTATGTCTTTTTGGTTATAATATGTTCACTTATAGTGTTCTTATAATGTTCTGTCATAACACTAATGTTCTCCGTAAAGTGTTCACCGTAAAGTGTTCTCCGTAAAGTGTTCACCGTAAAGTGTTCACCGTAAAGTGTTCTCCGTAAAGTGTTCACCGTAAAGTGTTCACCGTAAAGTGTTCTCCGTAAAGTGTTCACCGTAAAGTGTTCACCGTAAAGTGTTCTCCGTAAAGTGTTCACCGTAAAGTGTTCACCGTAAAGTGTTCTCCGTAAAGTGTTCACCGTAAAGTGTTCACCGTAAAGTGTTCACCGTAAAGTGTTCACCGTAAAGTGTTCACCGTAATTATAATATGTTCTTAGTGTTCTCATAATGTTCTCCAAAATGTCTTCTTCCTCTTCATAATGTCTCTAATTAACTTCATAATGTCTTCGTAATTTATTCATTTGTATTTCTGTTTTGTTTTAACGAGTCAAGATTGAATTAATATCTATGTACGTATGAAACAGTTAAAGTAGGTAAATTAAATATAAGAATTTGTAACTATTGAAAAGACTAAATACATACATACATATATACGTACACACATATACATACATACATACATACATACATATATACATACATACTATTTTAAGAAATATAAAACGATCAACAGAAAAATAACAACGTTTTAGTGAATTTCCGTAAAAAAATATATATATAATTTTAACAAGCGTGTAGCAAAGTGTGGATTATAAACTTGTAATTTAATCCCTGGGCATAAAACCCGGATTAAAACTCTCTTAAGATTAACAGGAAATGAATTCAAGGATGGGGGTTATTAAGCCCTGGCTACACACGGGTTAATAGGAGCTTAAGCAACGGGGAGTAAATACTATCATTAACCGTGTTTACTTACCGGGTTATGTAGAAGAGAAAGTAATATACCATAACCCGTGTTTAGTTCTCGAGTTGTGTTGTGGAAATTTTAATGTTTTTTTGGGGGGTAGTTAACTGGAAGACGAGGGGCCAAGACCAAGCATAACTTAAAACAATGGGAGGATTTTAAGTAGTTATAAGTAGTTTTTCTCCATTATACCTCAAGGCCGGTAAAAGTGCGGTGGTAAGAAGGGAACCTCACTTAACAGCCTCAGAGTGTGGGGTAGTGTGGGTGGCGTTGGTAGTGAGGGTGGCTACGTGCTGTGATCAGTAACTTCCCCTGGCAAGACACCTCTGAGAGAATAGGGAGTCGAAGCCATAGTCCTCGTTGGAAATTACAGGTAAAATATATTATCTTTTATTATTTTCTTACTAAGGTATATTGAGTGTGTGTGTGTGTGTGTGTGTGTGTGTGTGTGTGTGTGTGTGTGTGTGTGTGTTACGTAGAGGCCGAGTTTACCCTCAGATTAATCGTGTTGAGGTGACCTGATGAGACGTAACAGACTAGTGTGTGTGTCCGTCAGTGGCTGTGTGAGGTAAACAGGTGACAGTCAAGTTTCAATTACTCAGTATACTGTACATAGAATCAATGTGTCAAACTTATTTCAGGGAAGTGTTTTGTTGCAGGAAGTCGGTCTCCGTGTGTGTGTGTGTGTGTGTGTGCGTGCGTATCAGAATTTCCCCACAAACATACACCATGATTCGCTAAACTTACATTATACACACGCAAGATGCAATACATGACCTAAAATCCGGATTCCTTGCATTGACTATAAGAACGCCAACAACAGAGACCCAGGTGAGACACTTCAGGCCACATAGGTTAAGATTACACAAGGGCCACCTATACCTCCCACTTGAGGCCGTGTTCTGTGTTCACTTCCTCACGCCACTGTGTTCCTTCACCCTTGAGAGACGTGACCCATTGACCACCAGAGAGCGTCCAGTGTGAATAATAGTCCTAAATATAAACTCATTTGCATAGCCCTTAAGGATTTACATTTATTTCAACAATCCGCTCAGTTTCCAGATTAAAAATGGCGTTCGTTTATAACCGCATATAAATATACCCTGAATAGTGTGTGTCAATTTCTCTTTTTCATTCTATCGTTGTTCATAACCCGATCAGTTTCTGAATCTAAATTGTAGTCTCTCTCTCTCTCTCTCTCTCTCTCTCTCTCAGGAACTTGAAACAACAAAAACAGAAAAATAATATCCAACTGAACACAAACACTTCTGACATCTACATCACAACACCAGTCAGAACATCATCATCAGCCAGGGATATATGCTGACAGTCAATAGGTTCCCCTGTCTCAGCCACGAGTCTCACTATTGCGGACGGTATTTCTCAGTGATAGCGTACCGTTCGTATTTCTCAGTGATTGCGTCGTATCTTAAGTGGCAATGCGAGGACATGAGACCTGGACAATGCTGTGGTGGGTCGGTGAGATTGGCAAGCCTGATGGATGTAAATACCGTGGGTGAAGTTTTTTGTGGGTTAGGTTAGGTTGTGTTGGACTCTCTCTCTCTCTCTCTCTCTCTCTCTCTCTCTCTCTCTCTCTCTCTCTCTCTCTCTCTCTCTCTCTCTCTCTCTCTCTCTCAGGACCTCACGTATTAAGTCAATTATGATTTCCCTGTGTGGCATAGTGGTCATGCAACTCACTCCCGACAAGTAGGTGACCACTTTCGACGTTACTGAGTTCTACACCTTTGCATTACACTGTCACACTCACTACACTTCACACTTACACTTACACACTCATTTAAACTTCTCAATACACCTACACACTCACTACACCTCACACCTACACACTCACTACACCTCACACCTACACACTCTCTACACTCTTTTCAGTATATTTACACAATCTCTACACCTTTGATTACTACACCTTCATTGTACACTTATACGCTGACTACACCTTTCTCAATACACTTACTCTTAAAGAATACACAGGAATACATATGAATACACAGGAATACACGGGAATACACAGGAATACATTGGAATACACAGGAATACATTGGAATAGAGAAGGAGAGCAGACAACAGGAGACCAAATGTATTACAGCTTGAGTTATGAGTTAAATATATGACAAGGTTATATGCGGACGGTGTTATTACTAAGTTGATAATAAGTGACAAAGGAGCGAGACTCATGGTGAGGAAGAATCAAGTGAATTTTGTGGTGTAACCGATAATAACAAGCCGCACCTGCCTCCTACCTAGCTCACACACACAGTAGCCAGGCCCCTAGACTATGCGACTCCTCCCTCCCAGACTATGCGAGGCCCCACATCATGCGACCCGCCCCCAGACCAGACAAATCAGAGTAGCGTAGTGTTGTGTATTACCTGCCTCTGTAAAGGTCAGGACGTCACTCCCTGGTGGGGGGAGGGAGGGGCGGAGGAAGGTAGGTGGGTGGGGGGAGGGAGGGAGGGTGAAGGACGTAGGAGGGAAGGACGGTGGGAGGGGGAGGGAGGGAGAGGAAGATTACCTGTGCCAGTGAGTACAGAGCGTCGTTACCTGGCTAAATTAGGTTCACTTCCTCTAATTTATTATTTGTCGGGTGTTATAGTGAGGATAGACCTGGGTGATGGCGTCAGTTTTTTCTTTTGTTATGAAGAAAGAAAAGAAGAACTAAAAGCGTATATTTCAAGAGGATAATTTTGAGGTTACTGAAAATATTGTGAGAATTTCTTACAGGTTAATTTCACCTGGCGAGAAATATAAAAGGTAAAAAAAAAAGGTAATTAATGTTTATATCATACATGGTGGTTAGACTTAATAAATCTTGATACTTTAGGAAATTATTAATGTTTTTCTGTGTGGGAGAGTAAATGGGGGTAGTTAAAGATATATTCTACATTAAGGATGAATCGTATAATAGAAAAACCACATAAATGACCTGTAAAACACATATTCTCCCTTATACCATTATCTCATCCCAAATTCCTCGGTCTCAACACACAAGGGTCACAGAGGCACTCAACACCCAAGACTTTAGATCACAGTTTGAAGACTTTCTGGACTAACACAAACACGACTCTAGGGTCCCGAGGAGGGCAAGAAAGTGTTACACGAGACAGAAATAGACCACCTTCCATTCCCACACTCAATCCATCAACTCTACACCCGTCTACTTCTACACTTTACATATGTCCTCTACACTTTACGACATTCCAAGTAACTTAACAGGTGGAGTCTCTCGTGACGTAAGTGTCCCTAATGAGAGTAAGTTGAAGATATAATTAGGGTGTTTGTGACTGTGAAGCGCGCAGGTGTATGGTGAGGTATAGTCAGGTGTGTGGCAGGTATGTGAGGCGCCAGGTGGAGGGTTGGATGGACAGGTGTGTGAGGCACTAGGTGGAAGGTTGGATGGACAGGTGTGTGGCACTAGGCGAAGGCTCGGGTGAACAGGTGTACACGCTAATTAACCTGTTATCAGTCTACACACGCTTACCTTTGTCTGATTTTCATTACTGTTCAATTAATATGCAATGATGATTCTATTTTCCATCTTTCTACCCCTATACCCCTCTCCCTCACCCCTCACCCCTCCTCCTTCACCCCCTCCCCCTCCCCTCTCACCCACCACACTACCCCCTATAAGTAGCTCATTCCTCGTATTGTTCACTCATCCACACTTACCTGCACCACCACTACCACCATCACCACCACTTCTACCACTACTACCACCATCACCACCATCACCACCACCACCACCACCACCACCACCAATTACCACCACCACCACCATCACCACCACCACTACCACCACTACTACCACCATCACCACCACTACCACCACTACCACCATCACCACCACTACCATCACTCACCACCACCACTACCACCACCACCACCACTACCACCACCATCACCACCACTACCATCACTCACCATCACCACCATCACCACCAATTACTACCACCACTACCACCAATTAATTACCTGAAAATACTCCAACGTCATAATAATTATAGTTATCGAAGAGCCTTGTTGATCCTGAAAGGGTGTATTTGAATAATGATGTCCGGTTCATTATAGGTAGTGTGTGTGTGTGTGTTTTCTCTCTGTTATTACTGTCACGTGACCTGTTGTACTACTGCCCCAACATGACGAGGAAGAGTGAGGGTCTTTTATGAGTGCATCTGACCTTGGTCTCTCTCTCTCTCTCTCTCTCTCTCTCTCTCCAAGCATGAGAGGAAGGCATAGACCACGTAAGCTCCTAATAGAACTGGAGATCTATTAGATTGGAATCTATTAAAACAAGGGTCAAGGAGTCTATTACTGGTGGGATCTAGGTGACTATTAGGACACACACACACACACACACACACACACACACACACACACACACGAATACAGCTGTCGAATTCAACTACTTCGATCCTCGTTAAACCACGATCCATGTGACACACTAACGACCTCGACTACCTAATTACTTGAGACTTATACACTTAACAAGGCCTGGAAGCTGTTAAGTGTCTAGTTTGTATTGTAAGTCGGTGTATTGGGCGTTGTTGCTCTCTCTCTCTCTCTCTCTCTCTCTCTCTCTCTCTCTCTCTCTCCAGGAACGTGAGATGACACCTGAGTTCGATGAATTGACAGGTAAATAATAGACAGGTGAATAATGGACAGGTGAATATTAGACAGGTAAATAATAGACAGGTAAATAAACCAATAGTAAACGTAAGAATATGTATGTATGTATGTATTTATGTATGTATGTATGTATGTATGTATGTGTGTATGTATGTATGTATGTATGTATGTATGTATGTATGTATGTATGTATGTATGTATGTCTACGTGTCCATTAAACTTTTTCTCCCACAAAGTATGTATCGTAGTTTCCTTCATCAAAGAGGCTAATGACTCCTGACTACTGTGTTCTGTTGTTATTGTAGAGACGCGTGTAGGGGTCGTCACCTGTGTGTTATGTACGTGTGTATGTCTGTCCTCTGTGTGTGGATTGTGTCTAGTGCTAATACCTGACTTCATTGACTCTCCGTACATGACTATCAAACTGACTCTACTGGTGATAGTTTCTCTGGTGATTTTCCTTGCTTTGTTATGATTCCCTCACCTGAGAACGTTAATTGATGTATGGTGGGCCACTTATTACACACCTGTACTGTATCTCCTGAGGCATTATACCTGTCTCTCTGTACAGGTGGCGTGTTCATATGTACTTTGATCATTTATTATTTTGGTTTTTGTGTTTCTTGAGGGTGGGAGGGACGGGGGACGTTCTCACACAGCCGTAGGTTCCATCAGTGTGGTAAAAAAGGTGTGCTGTTAGGTTGTTAGTGAGGTATTTGTAAACATTGATATATCTTATTTTCAGGAATTTTCTATTTAATGTTATTATTTACAGCCAAAGTAAGATTATTTATTTTTCAGAGCATTGTTGTCCATTACATAAATTAATATTTTTTTGTGATTATTATTTATATTGTCTGAATTAGGAGTAATTAATTAGATGACATAAAATACCTAACTTTTTTTCCTATCTCTTACAGGTCACTGAATGTCCTGTTAGCCGTGCTGGAGGGACAGGAGGATGAAGGATCCCAATATATCCTTGGCCTCTAAAGACAAGGCCATAAGACACAGCATCAAATCCTCGTCATCATCAAGGTTGACTCCAGACTCCAAGGCCTCCTCAGCCGCCACAGACATGCAGGAGAGGGCCTCAGTCAGGACGCCGTCAGCAAATAGCGAAACCTCGTCACTGTCTCCAAGTTACGTAAGGGAAGGGTCAGCTTTACTCCCTAACTCGGAAAAACTCACTCCAAATGGCAGGATTGAGATGGGGAGCGGTATGGTGGGTGTGCAGACTCCTGACGGTTCAGAGAGCGAGGAGTCGAGGAGCGGCATGGCGTCTAGGATGTCGATGGGCGCCGTGGTGGAACAGCTGATGGCGGGAGGCGGTAAGAGGAACCTATCGTCCAGGGCCTCCACGATCAAACACCAGATTAAGAGGTAAGACACAGATTAGTAGCGTCAGATTTAGATTACTAGCGTCAGATTTGTTGACGTCACTCGCGAGGTTCTGAGTTACAGCCAGAGACCCGACCACTCACACCCTCCAGCCTGAGGGACACTTACGAGTTACTCCACGGCGTCACTCATGTGGACCTGACGTCACGTATCACACACAGATTGAGTGATAACTGTCTGTGTTGATGACTTAATCTATGTGGATCACCTGGAGATTATCCCCAGGTTATTACAGCTTAAGATTAAAGCTTCCCAAACGCTAACCTTTACCAACCTAGCCTAACCTAACCTAACCTACCTAACCTAACCTAACCTCTCTCTCAGCTATAACTACGCAGATTATGACGTAAATGGTAAGTACTGGGACGGTCCTAGCATGCGATGGCTCTCTCTGAAATTGCACGTTCACACACACACACACACACACACACACACACACACACACACACACACACACCTTTCGACTCTCTCACTGACCATCACCACGACTCATCTGCAAATTTGGTAAGAAGCTTCTACATAATCCCCGGCCTGGCCCCTCCCCTACCACTAGGATCCCTGTCAAAATTGCTGTTTCGACACACCACAACCGCATCAGCCCATACGTGCACGGGCAGTCGCTATAAGAACAGCCCAGTCCCAACCATTGTAAAAATTATCAATAACATGTAATAAATCAGTGTATTCACTCCCAGTAACACTGCTCCCTACACTGTCACTATGTTGAAATGAACTGTATTTTGAGCTGATCCCCATCTAAGTTACTATATGTCTTATTTGTGTCACTTATGTCACTTGTATATTATTTGTAATTCGTAACACATTCCCCAAATATGTAACTGTATATTTTCAGCCTTCTGGCTGCCAAGCTCTTTCAATAAACCGTTAATTATTTTACACACACACACACACACACACACACACACACACACACACACACACCTGCCCTCATTCCTGAACATTTTACTTAAGGAATGGACTATCCTGGAGCGTTGACGGTATAGGTTAGGTTAGGTTAAGTACGGGAGGTTCTCAATAGGTACAGGTCATAGACACACCCAAACAGGCCCCAACCTAACCTAACCATTAGGACACATTAAGGAAGGGCCCATTAGGTGAATAAGTGACGGTGACAGTGTAAGAGTGACATAACAGAGAGGAAGGTGAGTGAGTGAGTGGCTGACGGTGATGATGGATGAGTGACACAGGGCGGTAATTGGGTCAACAGTTACGAGCTGTGTGAGTGACAGAGTTACTAGTTATGATGTGAGTAACAGTATTATTTACAGCGTAAGTGACGTCATTTGTTATACGGGTAACAATAGTGGTTGTGTTAGTTGGACTTTGTCTGTAATTCACTAGAAAGACCTAACCTAACCTAACCTAACCTAACCTAACAATGTGCAAGACAGGTAGAGATAATTTCATCTATAGGAATACTTAAGTGACATCTGCTTCTGAGAGACTGAGTGAACATGACATGAACATAACAGGTAAACATGACACAGATGAACATGATAAGTGAACATTAGTGAACATGATGGATGAACATGATTGGCCTCATTACCTCTGACGGAGACACTAAACATCAATTGAGGGGAACCCGAGTACACCTGTTCGATCACCTTCATTTATCACACCAGCCACACCTGTCATGGGGAGTTGTTTTAATGTTTAGTGCTTCAGCTGCCAGGGTTTATGAAGCACCGTTTACAAGCTCGGTGTTTCAAGTGCTTCATAATTTCTGACGTTATTTACTGGACTAAGATAACGTCACAGAAAAACATCACACACACACACACACACACACACACACACACACACACACACACACACACACACACACACACACACACACACACACACACACACCACTAACCCCTTTACCACGAACAATAACAATAATAACATACATAAAATCACTTAAAAATCACGTACCCCCCAAAAATCACCACCACAGCCTCTCCTTATCGTCCCCTGCACCCTAACACCACTAATGACATGTATAAATATATTCCTAAAAATAATACCTGAAATATACCTGTGTGTTACCTGTCATTAGAGCACACAGGTGAGATATGAGTGACAAATCTGAGGAGTACTTGAGGTAATTGTTGGTTAGCATTATTTACAAACACAAATGGAGGAGAATTACATGTTATATATTTTTGCTAGGTTAGGATTATAGAGGGAGAGGGAGTTGAGCTAGGGAGAGGGAGGTCAGCTAGGGAGAGGGAGTTGAGCTAGGGAGAGGGAGGTCAGCTAGGGAGAGGGAGGTCAGAGGAGAGGAGGTCAGCTAGGGAGGAGGTCCAGCTAGGGAAGGAGTTGAGCTAGGGAGAGGTCAGCTAGGGAGAGGAGGTCAGCTAGGGAGAGGGAGGTGAGCGAGGGAGAGCTAGGGAGAGGGAGGTGAGCTAGGGAGAGAGAGCTAGGGAGAGGGAGGTGAGCTAGGGAGAGCTAGGGAGAGGGAGCCATAGGGAGAGTTACAGTAGAGAGCCAAAAAGAGGGAGGTTAGGTTAGGTTAGCATTAGAGTGGTTAATCTTCACGTGATCCCAACATTACTATATAACTCCGTCTAAATAACTCACATATAATTATTATAAGATATATTAAGGCATCATTAATTAACAACAAATGAGTTATATAATAGCACGTCGTCTCCGTAAATCACTCCAGGTTCCATTATGCTTTTTAGAATATTAAAAACAACAGGAGGGAGAGATGTAATCTTACCTGAGGCCAAAGGTAACCTAATCCATTACCCTCAATATAACTCAATTTTTACATGATGGATTTCAATTACTGTATTAAAAACCTCAGATTAGTTTTATTTTTATTTTTTTCGGGGGGAGGGAGGGTGTGGTCTTGATGTAAGCGTGTTGAGAATAGTTGAAATTGATGGTGTGGATGAGTGTTGTGGGTGGATGGAGTGTTGTGGGTGGATGAATAGTTGAGTGATGTGGGTGGATGGAGTGTTGTGGGTGGATGGAGTGGATTAATAGGAGTGTAATTTGTCTGTTTAATATCGTGGTAATTATTTTTGTCTGTTTATGTCTACCTGTTTCGTTATTAAGTTTTCGTTTATATCAATTATCTTGTGATTTTTATCTCTCTCTCTCTCTCTCTCTCTCTCTCTCTCTCTCTCTCTCTCTCTCTCTCTCTCTCTCTCTCTCTCTCTCTCTCTCTCTCTCTCCTCACGTCACGTAACACCTTATACACACACACGCCCACAAAAATCCACGCCCATAATACCTAGAACCCCCCCCTCCGTGTGCACCAGTTCACCTACACACAATAAGCCAATGCCTTCAGTATACTAACAGGCACTTTGAAATGATTACCTGAAGATTAACACCCCCAGGTAACCTAACCTAACCTAACTTAACCTAAGCTAATCCCCTTCAGTTAATTTTACGATGTTTAATCTTTAGGTGACCCCTCTGACACACACACACACACACACACACACACACACACACACACACACACACACACACACACACACACACACACACACACACACACAGCAGCAGGTGACCCAGGTAGAGACACGGGCACCTGGCCACTTATTGTTCAGCATTATGGATATATAGTAATGAATGACGCACAGCCTGAGTCAACACAACAACAACACTCACGGAGCACTGACATACCTGGCATACACCTCTTATGACACACCTACACACCTGTCAAATAACAATGACATACTTGGCATATATCTCTTACGACACACACCTGCCTGGTAAATGAATATTATGACATCTACACCTGTCACATAAGTCTTATTTCTCACCTGTGTCACTCGTGTCATACATGAATACCATATGAAGAGCTGTAGATATATGACACACGTGACATATACAGTATACATCTCACACATTATATGACATCTGACACACACACACACACACACACACACACACACACACACACACACACACACACACACACACACACACACACACACACACACACACACACACACACAATAAAACCTCACCAATATCACTATAATTACAAGCCAACATTAATTATTCTTATTTATTTTCATACTAATTAATTTACCTCCAAAAACTCTTAATTACTTTTCAAACTATAATACTTTTTCAAGATAAAATTGTACATTTGAAGGTACAGTACAAAGTTTACACGAAGTTATTCCCTGGGTGTGTGTGTGTGTGTGTGTGTGTGTGTGTACCTGAAAACTCTTTGATACCGTATTTCTAATGAACTGTTATGTGCTCGTATACATACATACATACATACATACATACATACATACATATATAAAGACACACACACACACACACACACACACACACACACACACACACACGCACACACATTCCTTCTGATTGTGGATTATGACGAAATAAATGTTTGCTTTGCGTGTTTGTTTGTTGTTTTTCCTCTCGATGTTACGACCAAGATATTAAGATGTTAACACTTTACGAGGAGATCAGTTGTTCATTTTATGGTAGCTTAGGTTAGGGTAGGTTAGGTTAGGGTTAGGTTAGGGTAGGTTAGGTTAGGGTTAGGTTAGGGTAGGTAAGGTTTGGTTAGGTCCGGTCAGGTTAGGTTAGATTAGGTTCCTCATATTTTAAAGCCTTCATTTCCTTTTAGAAACTCAATCTTGAAAAAAAAAAGTCTTTAATTTGTTCATCGATCCCAGCTACACTACCACCACTACCACTACCACCCTCTCTAACGTGTCATGGGACAAAGTGAAGGTCACTCTTGGTAATAGAGAACTCCTCAGGCAGTTTTCGGCAGCAAAACACCTAAAAACTCACTGCCAGACGTAAGATCAACTACTGCAGTAAACTTAACTTATCAACATTTCTAAAACAGTAATTAGAACAAACGGTGATAATTACAGGTACAGAAAAAACTTATATGAATCCGTATAATGATTTACGAGTATATATTATAATAACACAGGTGAACTGAGGTAAGGGCCTTCGTGTTCCTGATTGCTAAAAAG